GGGGGGGGTGCACGCGCGCGCGCGCACGAGAGAGAGAGAGAGAGAGAGATTAGTTGGTCAATTTGAGCACCTGTTCTCCATAATCCAGTCTGAAGTCATGTTCTAAGGCTGGGAATGGGACAGGCAGTTGTGAAATCTCCGCCAACGCGGCCTGTGTTTTACATATGATTTTCTTTGTTAACAGGAGAATCATACTGATCATGTAGAACAAAGACCTTTAATACAGGCGATCCAAAGTGCAAAGAAGCAGCATTTCCTTTGTGAATGGTATAAACAAGTGCAATGAAGAAACATTTCCTTTGTGAATGGTATAAACAATCTAGTCACCTTCTCAAGGAAGCAGAAAGGCCTGGCCACAGCTCTGTCACGATGCATCCATCTTGTGAGGTTTGTCATACAAGCAGCATGTTGCACAGGCGTTTCTTGTTTCATTTTGGTTTTGTCCCTAAGAGGCCATGGGATGATTATGACATCATCATTTTTTTTGCCCACTAAGTGACCCTCCTTTTAGTAGCCTAGACTAGGAAAAACACCATAGAGCGTGCAAGAACAAGTGATATTACTGTGATACATAACAATAGACATAGGGAGGCAGAGCGGAAGTCAACCTTCCGACTTTCACACACCTCATACTTCCGCACAAACTTGTGCAATTTGCGATGGGCCTTGTCTGCTGAAGCAGCCATGGAGAAGTAGTTCCGGTCCTCCCACTTTGCCAAGCGTGCAAAGTCTTTTAGCTCTTGCTCAATTGGAGCTTTTTCAGCTTTCAACACCTCCTGGAAGCTGCAAAAGACGTCACAGTCAGACAAGTGCCCAATTCAGATGTGATTTTTCCTTGACATTTTCCTTGATATAATGACAAAAAACACGTGTTAGGTAGCCTACGATTTGAACTGCAAAAGATGTCACACTCAGACAAGTGCCCAATTCAGAGGTCTTTTAACTCTTTTTCACCCCACATGACTAGGTCAGTGCATTCCGGCCTTTTGCCCTCGGGCCTCTTGTCGTCTACATGTTGCACATCAGCTTTCCTGAAGCTTACGACCCTCGGTTGCTATATCAATGCTTACTACTGTCGTCTTGAGAGCCATGTAGCTTTCCGGTGCTGTGTATGGCAGCATATGACGAGTTTGTCTGGTTCTCTGTTGTCCTCCTTGTCTGGGTCGGTTTTCTTTCCGGGAATTTCTTCCATTTAATCCCTTGTCCCTCCAAAAGAGGTCCTTTTCACAGTTTCCTCCCAATCGTGTTCCTACCACTTCCTGCTCAATATCATGAAAGGATAGTCTGGGGCCATTGCCACTATCCATTTCCCAGTGAAGATGTTGAGACTCAACAGCCAAGACCAACGAGGATGGGCTCTTAACCTGCCCACACTTCTGGACAGGTACACTGTTGCCGAGCTGAGACTAAGAAACGCACACACTGCTTGACCACTCCATGCAGAGCTAGCTGTTGCTTTCCGCCGATCTTGACCACTGCCTTCCTTCACAATTTTGCCCATTGCCACACTCTAGCAGGTCCCAAAGATACGCCTTCATTTTGAAATTTGAACAATGGAGTCTCCGCTATTTCTGTCCCGGTGCTGTGGTGTGGTCATCTCCATGAGAAAATTGGTTGTCGGTCCCGAAAGGGACTGACCAGAAGACCAAGCCGTCACTCTTCGCACTTGCCGTACTTTCTGTGACAGCTCAAGACAAAGAACTTTTTGAATGCCATTCGGCAGTGTTGAACTCTTTTTGTTTTTTTTTCTCATCCTTGCGCAGGGGCCATGCTAATCTTCTCTCTCTGTATCGTTCCAATTTTAACGCACGTCCCAAAGACAACTCTAGGTCTTCGATTGCAATCTCTGCTGTGTTTGTTTGAATTTAGATCCATTCCGCAGTGTTGAACTCCAGGTTTTGGATTGCACTTTCTGGTCGAAAGACCCTCTGTGGTGCTTCACCCAAAACTTGTACCTTTCACAGCAAGAAGGATTCAATGGGGTGTGCAAAAGATAAAAAAAAACTAAATCTATTTTGACAACGAACCACAACAATAGTGAAAAACGTGCACCTGCCATCTTCCCCCTAACACAATGCACCCTCCTCATGACCATATCAGACTTAAAAGATAACGAATCTGCATTCATCATCAAGGGGTCAACGTGTTCACCGTGTTGTGCTTGGGGGAAGACAGTAGGAGAGAAAGGAAGCACTAAGACATTCTGATTCTCGCTCGGCCTTCTGGCTTAGATCAAGTGTAGTATCCCGGTCTGACGAGTCTAATATCTAATCCGTGGTCCATCTCGGACACATAAGGAAACAAAAAAAAAGAAGGAAGTACTGAGACATTCTGAAGAACAGAAAGGAAGTAATGAGACATGGTGAAGAATATTGAGACATGGTGAAGAACAAAAAGGAAGTAATGAGACATTTTGAAGAACAGTGGAGCAGATTGACTAATTGGTGAGGGGGAGGGCAAAAGGCAAAGGCTTAGCTGCAGTTCCACTTACGCTGGCATAAATTGCATGTAGTACCGATGAATGTGATAGAGAACACAGCAAAGTCTTGAAGATGCTTCTCTGTGGATAGGTTAACAGTAACAGCCCAGGCAGGAAGACAAGCAAAAGAGCAAGAGTTAGCTGATACAAGGGCACAGGTTCTCTTGCTGCCAGCATCACACTTGCAGAACGGAGAAAAATTCATAGAATTCCAAAATGGCTAGGCTTTGGGCCACCCGCTCGTGCAGCCCAGGCTGTGCATCCGAGCAAGACGCCCGGGGTGCCTGGGCATGGGAGTAAGTTGGGTCTTTTTTTTTTTTGGGGGGGGGGGGGGGGGAAGGATTGTTCAAATGCCCCTGAAAGTTGGGGTATTTCGTCAGATACCCCTAAAAGGCATGGGTGTGGTGAGATGCCCCTATGACAAGTGCGAAACTTTGCAAAATACCCCACTCGCCAGTTGGACCTGTCATCTTTTGCACATACCCCTACCCGACCCTGGGCAACTTATCGATATGCCCCGATATGCCCCGATATTTCTGGCTGTTGGACCCTGCAGATGGCAGGAAAACAGTGACGGCCCCTCCAGCCTGGGGCCAGGGCATATGGAGAAGTTGCCATTGACCGGGGCAGGGGCACATGCAAAAGTTGAGGGCATTTCTGCATACCCCTGTGTTTTAGGGGTATCTAACGAAATAACCCAACTTTTAGGGGTTTTTCAACAATTTCCCTTTTTCTGGGGGGGGCGGTGGGCTATGTCACCAGAGTGGCCCAGGACCACTACTCAGCCCAGTAAGGAAGGGGGATAAGAAAAACTGCCATTGCACATGGATGGTCAGTGGTGTATTCTAGAACATGTCAATCGCCACGATTTGCCAGTGCATTTGCCTCTTCCTTTGGAGAGAAAAAAGGGTTTTCAATCCAGGATGGTCCCCATAACAAGGCAACTGTCGCAATAGCCATCGCTAAGGGGGAGCGTTCAGTGGCTATCACCATTCAAGTTTTGGGGAAGCCCGGACAATACATTACTTCGTTGCTGACAGTCAAAAGAGAAAACAAAGGGCGGAGGGGGAGGGAGGGGGAGGAGGAGAAGGAGAAGGGTGGGGAAGGAGAGGAGGGCACAGGAGAAGAAAAGGAGGCTTTGACTGCTGGCATAAGGGTTTCCAGTTGGCAATGCAGCATAGCATATACAATATTATACATTGATCACTTCGCCGGGGTGGTAAATGCAATCATGTTTAGTAATGCTGGCGATGTGGCAGCATCCATAAAATATGGAATTCAGTGACATAATGACATTAGCTTGTATTAACCTTCCTTGAGAAGAATGCTTCTTTTTCAGTAAGAGAGAACCTTATTGTCCTGCCTCCAGCACCAGTCCGGTTCTTCTCACACCTGCAAGTCAGGAAAAGGAAACGGGCTGACATTCCTCAGAATAGAATGGAACCGGAATGATCAGTATTAGGTTGCTGCTTTCTTCAGAAAAAGAATCGGATTTTCCAGAATGATCAAATATTAGATTGCTACTTTCTTCAAAAAGAGAAAATCAGATTTTGTTTGTGGAAAACATTCAATAGAAAACCTGGCTTGTTACGGATTGATGATACAAACTTACATTGTCACACCAGGAATTGTTGCGCCAAGTCGAATATGACACTGAAGTTGGCCATAAAATGCATGCACCATCTCCATTCGCCGCTCAAACTCGCCATAAGCAGCCGTCTGGATAAACTCCTCCACGCTGGAAAAATCGACAAAGGCCAAGAGTCGGCAATCAGCTATGAAGAAAGGGTCGAACGAAAATGAAAACGTAAGCCTAGTAAATTGATATACCAGCTCTTCTCTCTCTTTTTTTTTTTTTTTTTTTTTTTTTTGGGTCCAAGACAGTGTTGCACCCCCCGACGGTCGGCAGCCCTTGACTGGTCGGCACCTACCGGTCGGGGGTCGTCGGCACCCCGCATTAAAAAATATATATATTTAAAAACTGGGGTCCAGAACCCCTAATAACACCACCAACACCCCCATAGCCGCCCCCAAACCCCCATACACCCCCCAACACCCCCAGTTGTTACAGCATTTTGTTGTTTTTGTTGTACATCGCAGTCACTCCTTTGCTGATAGGCTTTTCTACAAATTTATTATTTCATTTTAATTCAGGATAAACTTGGATGTGTATTTTATTCTCATTTCTTCCCAATATGGACCGTTTGTTTCAAAATGATTTGCCCCCAACACCCTAATTACCCCCCTATCCCCCCCTATCCCCCCCTATACTCCAACCCCAACCGCTCCCATACCCCCCCCAATCCCCAAAAGTTTCTCAGCGGATTTGGGCTGTACTCAGCAAGCGCAGTACAGCCCCCAACTCAGATTTGGAAAAGAATCAGTGGATTGTTGTTTTCTGACTGGTCGGCTGCAATACATCGGCGGATGCAACCCTGGTCCAAGACTCCCAATAACCCCACCAACACCCCCATACCCGCCCCCAATACCCCCATATTGACTTACCCTGAGGGCACGGGTGCGCAGCCCATAGTTTGTATATGCTTGATTGATAAACACACACACACACACACACACACACACAGAGAGAGAGAGAGAGAGAGAGAGAGAGAGAGAGAG